AAAATTGAATCAGAAGAATAAAACAATATTAATACCTCATCCTGCGAACAAATATGAATTCAAGACAGATCAGAGACATAAATGTAAACCCTAGAGCTATAAAAAGTCTCAGTGAGAAAATTGGGGCAAACTGAAAAGCCCTACTGTAGCGCATACACATACTATCCTGTATAATAAAAGAAGCAAATATTATAGACAACAAAAAGATGACTGAGATCTACTAAGACATTTATGTACAGCAACAGCTTCATTAGAAGAGTAAAAAGAGAGCCAACAGATCTGAAAAACACCTTTAGCATTTACACAATGAACAAGGGAGTAATTACTAAAATCTATAGAATTCTGCAATATCTCAGTAAGAAAAAACAAACAAATAATCCAGTTATAGTGGGAAAAATCCATGTATAATTTACCGTAAGGACACTCAAAATGCCTAACAAATACATGAGAAAAAATGCTCATGATCACTAGCCATCTAGGAGGTGTAAATCAAAATAAGGATGGGATGAGGTATAACCGCACACCCACCACAATAGCGCCCCTGTCCCCCCGCAAAAAACAAAAACAAAAAAGAACAAAAAACTGAAAACAACAAATGCTTGGGTAGGTATGGAGTGATTGGAATTTTTACAGACTACTGATAGGTTTGTAAACATGTACAACCATGATGGAAAGTGATATGGCACTACCTAATACAAACTGGGAACAGAAATACCCTATGTGCTAGTCTAGGTTGACTAGAAAAACAAATCCAGAGACTTTCATATGTGTATAAGAAAGAGCTTTATTTTATTTTATTTTTTTAAAGAAAGAGCTTTATATACAACAGCAATTGAATATTGAGAAAATATCCCAGCCCAGTTTGAATCAAGTCCGTAAGTCCGATATTACCCCATACGTCGACACTAGTCCATAAATTCCTCTTCAGACTCATGTAGCCATGCAATGACACCGAATGCAGGAAGATCACAGGGCAATGGGTAGAAAATCATGTAGATCCAGTGTTGTAGAAGGCTCTTGGTGCTGGCGTGGGTTTCCACGTGGTTCCTCCAGCTCCAGGACTGTGGCTGCATTAGTGTAGCTCCATCAGGTTCGTTGTCAGTATGTCTCACAGGGAGTGTTTGTATTTCCTCCCTGCAGCAAGCTGTTTATCTCCTTAGCGCCTCCAAATGAGGTCATCAAGCTGTGACCTGATTGACAGGCTAGACTCCTCCCCTCCACAAGTTGACACCAGATTATGTAGCCACAGACCACCCCTTGTGAACTTGACACTTTTACACAACTCTTTTGCCGTACATAATTTTTAACAAAACGATAATAAAATCATCTTTACCTAACAGGATAAAACTAAAAAGCATAGAATTCAATATGTGCCATCATCATTTAAACGTAATATTCTATAAGTGACAAAACAACACTATTCTATGTCTAACAATTGTAGTTAAGTAACACTTACACCTTATCCTATAATGCTATGAATATATTCCCCCAACTATGAAAGTTTGTAAGCCAACCACTTCATGCTGCTATTCCCTCCAATTTGGTGTATCCAATTTCTATACTGCCCACTGCCCCAGTGCCCTGAGGAGACAATCATATTCTTTGATGTGAAGAATCTTCATTCCAACTGGAACCTTGTGAAGTCTGCATCCATAAGTAAAGTCAAATCAGGCCAGGTCATCCATACAGTTAGCAGCAATATGTACCAGTTCACAGACTCAAATATCTTCTCTTCATCTGGTTGGGTTCTGGTCAACTCAAGGTGGGCTGCCTCACTAAGCCTCACCAGGATGCTCATTGGTCACCTCACCTTTAGACCAGAGTCACTGTCACAAATTCTCAACAACCGTAACCCCCTTGGGCTAGGTCATGAACTTCAGACCAGTTAACCTGCTCTCTTTTTCTCTAGTCCCTGTGAACCAGGTCCAAGGGTGTCAGTGGCCAGACTCAACCCAGCTGCATTTCTCCCATTATTGCTGCATTTCTCCCACTTCCACTCAATCAGTGGATCCAGGTAGTCACCTAGCAAGCATTCCAGCCTGCCCACAAGATTTCCATAACATTTAGTCCTAAAGAAGAGTTTTCTTCATGGTTCCAGATTTTTTCCAGTTTCTGACAAAAACCACTAGTTAAAGATTCAAAAATCCAAAGCCGTCTCTCTTTTCACACTTCCCAATAATCATTTCTTTTTAAAAATCGTTTTATTAGGGGTTCATACAACTCTTAACACAATCCATACCCCAATAATCATTTCTATCAATCATTATATCAACAATAATAAGCAGAAGAAATCAGTATAAACAAAGTAGAATCAGATACTAATCTCAATTCTTTAAAACAGGCAAATTCAATCCTTATTTAGCTTATCTTAATTCTTACCAAAACTATTCCATTGATACAAAATATGGGATTAGGCCTCTGACAGCATCAAGCCAGAGCCAGGCTTTCTGTTAGCCACTTTGACTTTCTATCAGCCA